GCATTAAATGTCCATTTAATGCAATATGGTAGGTTTAGAGTGCTTGTCAAGCCTTAAGAGGAAGGCTTGTCCTTTGCTACAGTGAATAGTACAGAAGCACTATTTCTGAGCAGACATCCTTACCTAAAGTTGGTGGACAAAGAGTCGACTAGTCGGCTCCGTACCGTACTAACTTTTGTAAGGGTATGCGTTTTGTCCTTTGTGTGCATAAGGACAAGACAACAACAATAGTGCTAAGCAAGCTTCCTTTGATCGCTGAATGCTGGAATGACCTGAAGGTCTCATCATCATACGCTGAAGCTTGAGCAGTCTTCACACATGTGTAGACAGGCTTGTACTCACTGAATACCGTTTCAGATCACGTACTCGCCGGTCTCTAATATTTGGTTTTAGTCTTCGACGTTTGCTGAAGGTTCTTTGGTATGAGTGTTGTCTTCTTGAAGTATTGCTGTCTCTGATAGATTTACAATGCAATTTCTTCAGCGATTACTGAACATACTCAGTGAAGATCGCTGGAACTGAAAATACAGAAACACAAATACAACGTGAAAGAGAAAAAGGATTATCATCAAATCACCGAGAGAGAGGATCAACATATGTTAATTCTTTCTTATGAATCAGGACTTTTTTCTTTTCAGTATCAGTGTAATACTAAGGATTTTTCTTCTGTTTAGATGCAGGAACAACGATACCCTCTTCCGTTGTCTGAGCAGGTAAATCCATGTAACTAATTTAAGGTCCATTCTTGATGGATTGCATCAACTTTTCATCTTTATTATCCAGAAAATGAATCATCCGAACTTTCCATTGTTGATATTCACCAATAACTAGAACCGGTGGCTTGGAATCTGAACCGATACTCAACGTATCTTTAGGCATTTTTCAGAAAGTAGACTTGAATTGATCGTGCAGAAAAATTTCTTGAACTGGTTTGAACAACAAATAGAATTCTTGAAATTTTGATCAAAATCTAAAACTAGTTTCTTATCGCTCGCTAAACAAAATTTGAGAAGATTGCTTATCGCTCAACATAACACCAAAGATATCAGACAAAGAATGATCGCTTATCAAACAACAAATTGAGGTTATCGGACAACAGAGAACAAGATTGAGCAAGGAGAAAAGTTATCGGATACTAAGGTGTGCGATGAAGAGGTTATCAGACAAGCAATAAGCGATGAAGAGAGGTTACTGGACACCTCTTTAAGTGATGAAGTATTTTATCAGTCAACACTTCAAGTGATAAAATACACAAAACACAAAATTTCTCAAGTGTTAAACAATTAAAACCAACACTTAGAAAAATATTCAACCAAAAACTAAGGGATGAGGATAAATCCTTGAGCGATGAGCAAACTTCTTGAGCGATGATCACGTTCCATGAACGATGAGCACTGGATATCGCTCATCAAATGAGCGATAAGGATCAATCAAGCGATGAAAAACACTTGACAATTCTAAACACTTGGGCGTTGAAAGATTCAATTCCAACTTTGACGATGAACCCTCAAGAACAGATTTAACAAGTGACGAGAGGATTCTTATCGGACGATGAAGCCTTCAATGGGCGATGAGCATCATCTTCAAACAGAAACTTACAAATTTCACCTAAAATTCTCAAAAATCACAAAAAGTTTGAATTATGATGCACAGACTTGTGCGAAAACCACCCAGAAACTATTTTTTCAGTAATTTATTTCACTAAACACGGACTAAACTAGCTCAATTTGATCAAAAACCTCAAGAACAGAAACTAAAAGTTTTCGAATCAAGAATTCTGCTTTCCAAATCGATTCAAAACGAGAGGAGATTGATCTGTTAAGCTCTAATATCAATTATGATCCCATATTCAAGTCTTAATCAGCAATTCAGATACAAATGAATCTGTCGACATGTCATTCATGTAAGTTGTGTACAAGGTGTCTTGATACAATGTCTTTCTCGGTACAGTATGCAAATTCTCTCTCAATCTCTAACTGTTTACATATGAATGATTCTATTGATATGTAACTAACAAAACTAACACGACAACCTATTTATACCAAACTATTACAAAGAACAAAACTAATATTACAAAGCATGTAACACTATTTAAGCTCGGTACTTGAATACGACATTTTAGACCCAACAAGGTCTTTGAGACATTAAGAGACTCCATTTTGGAGTTTGAACTTAGGTCGGTTCAAGTTTAACCATAATTGACTATTGTTAACTTTTGGAGAAATTAAACCATGAGTTGAATATTATGGTATAAAATGTATAGGTCTACGGTCAAGAGCTATCAATAGTTGATACAGCTACTTTCGAAGTAACAGAAAGAAAAGCAACGACTGGAGTGGGAGAGTTAGAGTCGAAAAGAGGATTCCTCACTTTCCTCTGTTATGTCAATGACACCAAAAGGATATTAAATGAATGGAATTGGGATATGGATGGAATATAATGAAATAGAGCCACTTTGAACAATTAGTTCATAAGGACCACCATTGTATAACCATTCATCAACATGTTTCAGCTTGTGCTTTATAAATAGCTTCGGCACAAAATAAGAAACACTCCACTTTTGTCATATATTCCATACATCACACTACATGGACATATGAGTCTTCAGAGACTTACAATGTGGATTTATTTTCAGCATTATATGATTTGTAAGGTAATGTGTATGTATGCATGGTGTTTCAGTTTACATACATGATACAATATATTTTTGATACATGTTATTTATGATAAGTTGCATGTTGTGTGTTTATTTCGTTTTCAAATAACTCTTGCATGTTATTTCATAAGAAAGTTTTATGATCGGTTTTAGTGAGTGCACATTTGACCAATGAGTCACACGACAAGTGGTACGACCCCATAATGGTTGCCCAGACAAGTGAAGGTCGGACAACAAAGGGAATGCCAGTGACAAAATGACCCATACCCGACTAGACAGTTGATGAGATGTCTTTTCTTTCAGTGTTGCGCGTTTTCTCTTTTCTTTCAGTGTTGCGTGTTTTTCAGAAATTGCTTACTATTTCGTTAGAGTTTACAAGATGAATATGTATGATATGAAATGATTTTTATTCATGCAAACCATGAGCTTTATAAGATGACTATAGTATACATCTCAAAGACGGAAGGTTTGAGGATGGACAAAGAAACATGGCACACATAGAGGCTTGCCTAATCCATTTACGTTTTATGTTCAGACATCTATGATAGATAAACTTGTAACGCAATCTGATATGGGCGGGTTAGCTTTAACTTTTATATTTGTTGTTTTAAAATCTTCCACTGTAAACTGTTTTAATTTAGTCGTTATTTTGGAGTATTTAGAGGAATTTGTTTTATATTACGTAAAATTCCATGGAAAAAAGAGGGTCTTACAGTTTTAACCATGTTTATGTTTTATATGATGAAATTGCTTTAATTCACTAGGCGTTAAGCCTAACACTTTTTTATCGACATGTATATCAGGTCTTAGTGGGATCTGAGCGACGTTTAGAGTTTTGTAGAGGTTCCAGTAGGATGGCATGGAAGTGTTATTCGGTTTTGAATATAGCAGATTTAATGTTGTCGTAACACCCGACTTGTTCTAATTCTGTTTGGGGATTAGATAGTCTTGTTTATAACTCTGATACTTATTCTTATCTTCCTTCATTTGTAAACTTTAAGTATTCTTTTATTGAAGTTGCTTTATTTAAGGGATTTAAAAAGCTTTAAATTATTTGTTATTCTATAAATGTAGGGGTGTTACACCTTACAAACCCAAAACAAGCTCCATTTTTACAATCTCTTTTTGGTCTTGTAAATGTCAATGATCTGATCGTATATCTTGAAAGCTCTCCACAGTCGAGAAGCTCCCCAAACCTCTGGAAATTTGAAAACCAAAAACAATAAAATCTGACTTTGACTGACACTATTATAATCAATTCGAGAACCTATCAATCTATATTGTTTTCCCCAAATCTTTGATCCGAACACGGTCTGACAAGTTTCACTCTTTCACCCTCGCCTCTTTCTCTTCTCTCATCTCTCTCTACACATTAAAAAGTATTTGACTTGCAGTAATCGAGTATTAACATTATGATAATATTGTATAACAATATAATGTTAGAGGAAGAGCAAATAACAAAATAACGAATTTGATCCCTCAATATTATTTAATTTTCAAGTTTAGTCATTAACTTTTACTTTTTGATTGTGTTGTTCAAAATTGCCATTTTTTAACGATTTCGTCCTTGAATAATTAGAAGTAATAAAATTCCATTAATATTGGTTATCTACGCATTACATGAATTTAAAATAAGGGTATTTTTGTAAAAGGAAATCAATTTGAGTTGTATTTTATTGTGAACGGTAAAACAATTTGAAGAACTTAGTTAAAAGGAAACAAATGAAACGGTGTGTAACTCGTCCAAAATATATTAAGGAGCTATTTGGTTCATGGATTTGGATGGAATTGAAAGGAATTGGAATGGCCAAATCATTTGACCAAATTTCAAATATAATGTTAGGTTCATGGAATAAAACTGATGGAATACTTTAAATTCCAATAAATTCATTTACTCACAGATTTTACATTCCACGGCAATACCCTCGGATTTCAATTCCTTTTCGACAAATTCATTTCCTAATCCAAATTCATTTAACGTTGTGTCTACCATTTCATCTAATTGATCTCTGATTCTATCTCTATTTGGTATGCTCTCTCTCTCTCTCTCTCGTAATTTCTCCATCTATACGAGATCGATAGACAACATATGTAATCAAGGAATCGATTCAAGATAACTAGCTATTGATATCACTAGTCCAATTTCGTTATTCAAAAATCATAAAAGGTCATTTGTTGATATTTAATTCCGATTCCAAAGTTGAATTCCGTGAACCAAACAAAAAAATTCCAATCCGTTAAGAATTTCATTCCAATTCCATGCAACCAAACGCAATCACAAGGCATGGTCAAATTCCATTCCATTCCCTCAAAGTCAAATTCATTTGATGAATTCCAATTCCATCGAATTCCATTCTACGAACCAAACGCCCCCTAAGTGTTCACAATTTCTTTTGAGATAGCTTGCGCAAAACAACATAATACGTCTCCATTTCGTCAATTTCGATTTTATTTCATGAATTTGTGTGATTTAGAGAGAACAAGAGTCTTCTATTGACTATCGGTTTTATGGAGCATGTTGTCGTATTAGTAGGATTCAACTCTTATTTTCTATTTAACAAGTTCAAAAGTTAGTATGTGTTAGTTTTATATTGTTGGAATGTAATAGTAAGTTGTATATGTAACAATAAGCAGCAATGTTGTATAATATAATAAAAATAGTATAAAAACATATTAATTTTTATAATTGAACTTTTAAAAACCAGATTAAAAAATAAAAAATATACATATGTATCGAAACAAATATCAAATTAAAAGAATAATTTAAAATTAAGATAAATATATGGATTTTCAAAACGCCATTTGTTTAGATGGAAAGAGTAAAATGAGTTCATAAAAACCTATTTAAACTTCCAATTTTATTGTTTCAAAATGTGGTAAAATAGAATTGTTACAAAAAATGAATTTTTTTTGTATGCATTATCGATTTTTATATCAGACTTTAACAATTGTATGTTAAAACTAAAAGTTTCTAACCTATATAGTAAAAAATATTTTTCCAATATGCATTTATCTTTATTTGAGTACATACTTGGTGGATGATTTATGGGAATATAACACCATATATACTTGGTGGATGAGTTATGGGAATATAACACCATATATACTTGGTGGATGACTTATGGGAATATAACACCAACTTTGCAATGAGTGCCATAAAGATCATTCCATTAACGACTAGCTCCTCAAATTGTGAACAAATCTGAGTGCTTTTAAAGGGAAGTGTTTATCTTCAAACTATAATTATGTTTGAATGTTGTAAAGTTGAACACGATTAAAGATCATCATCATGAAGTATGATGATTTTAAGATGTTTTACAGTTATATTAATCATCAAATAAAAATTAGAATTATATCACAAAATAATATGGACTAAATTATTGATTTTGTTTTTTACAAATTATTTATCACCAAATAAACCCTTGTGGTACATATTTTGGTCCTTCCTCTAAAGGTTGTTACATTTGACTATTAGGCACCCTTCATATGGAGGCATTTTGGTTAATTCAATGTATTTTATAAATTAATTTCTATTGTACAACAAGAGAATAACGTAATATCTCAAAATATTGAATACTGAAATATATCAAAAATGATATACCAAGATCAAACACTTACATTCCCGCAATAATGAAATCTTTAATGTTACAATTTTGACGAACATAATTTTGCTTTACACATCAGCGCCTTGATCTGCACATATTCTTCTTCAGGTGTCAATGTCAATCCTTATATGTCTCTTTATCCCACTTTCCTTTCAAGTCTAATAGCCTTTTGGGTTGCAAAAGTTTTTGAGAGAGTTTGGGTGAGCCTAGACCCAGTGAATCCACGGTTTTCATGCACGAACAGTAACTGTAGAATAAACAATTTTCACAGAGCTTCATATATTAAGCATTCAATTGATGAAAATAACACTTTTCACAAAGCAACAACGTTATGGAAGGTGTATGAAGCTGAGACAACTTTACGTTTGGAAAGAAGAGTATTTGAGGAAGAAAAGAAAAACATAACTGAACTTGAGAGGATTTTGGATTCTGAAAGGAAAGAGTTTGAGAAAGAGAAGAATAAGTTTTCTGATGCAGAATAGATGTTTTATGCTGAAAATAATTTTTTTGAAAGTAGACTGAAATCTTTTGAGTTGAGTTCTTTAAAGATTTCACAAGAAATATCTGATTTTGAGAAAATAGTTGTCTAGGAAAGGACAAAGTTTGAGGCTGAAAGAACGAAATCAGACAAGAAGGGTTTGAAGCTTTCGAAGAAAACTACAGCTATTTAGAAGAACCATGATGATGAAAGAAAAGCCTTTGGAAATGAAAGGAAAATTGCAGCAAAGAAGAATGTTGTTTTGGCTAAAGAGCTATGTAAAAAGAAAAAGTGGTCAGAAATTTATTTTGAAAATTAGAAAGGTGGTTTTGAAAAAGAATAGAAAAGTTTTTGAAAATCAAATAGCTGAGATTTCAAAGAAACTATTTGTGTTGAAAACTGACCTTTTAATTGAGAAGAACATGATATCTAAGTATAAAAAAATGTGATTCAGTTGTTAAATAAACTCAAAAAGTTTTCTGATATAAGCACTTTAAGTTCTACTGATTATCCTTCTAAGTGTAAAATCTGTATGAATGAATGTTTAATGTTAAATCAAACAGTCACTTTAGCAGTTCTAAATCCAATGTTTCAAAGAATAAATCTCATACTTTTAATCAGTTTTATAAAGGTTATGTAATTGATTAAGATAATTATTTTAAAAGAATGAAAAAGGTGTGGCTGAAGAAATCAGATACAGAAGACCTTGATGGTAACAAGTCTTATCAGTATTCTATGTTTGATGCAAAATCAATTGTTTCAAAGACTGTTTCACCTTATATTGTTGAATCTACTAATCAGCTAATCAGTCTTAGCAAGAAAAAGATTTGTTGTTCAACATGTGGAGCAGATGACTTTGTCAATAAGAAGAAAGCAAAAAGATGGTATGGAAAAGGTAAGAATGCAAATAGTTGGTATGGATATAGTTGATATACCAGGTATGTCAATAGTTGGTATGATAATAACTAGTATGGTACTTATTGCATATATGATTTTTCCTATGAAAAGATCTAAATTGAAAATATCTGGTCTGTTCACATAAAGCTAAAATTGTTTCATCTTGAAAATAACCTATTGAGATGATTCACATGTATCTGTGTGGACCAATGCGAACTCAATCATTAAGTGGTAAAAAGTATATTTTGGTGATGGTCGATGAATATTCCAGATATACGTGGCTAGAGTTTCTAATAGCCAAGTCTGATGCGCTGGAGTTGATTATTGCATTTATCAAGCGCATTCAAGCTCTTCTACAACTTCTTATGCAAAAGATTCGAAGTGACAATGGCACAAAATGTACAAATGAGACCCTTCAAATTTTTCTGAACTGTATTAGAATTTCTCATAATGTTTCTACAGTTCGAACTCCGCAACAAAATGGAGTTGTTGAAAGAAGAGATCGGACTTTGGTTGAAGCTGCTCGTACAATGCTTGCTTACTCTGGCTTACCTCTTTATCTGTGGGCTGAAGCTGTTTCTACGGCATGCTTCACACAAAATCGCACGATCATTGTCAAAAGCTTTCATAAAATTGCTTATGAGTTAATCAATAATCTCAAGCCTAATGTTAATTATTTTTTCATATTTTTGGCTACAGATGCTTTATGCTGAATGATAGAGACAACCTTGGGAAGTATGATAAAAAGGCAACTAAAAGCTATTTTATTGGATATTCTCTCAAGTAAAAGTGTAAGTAAGAAGTCTCTTACTCTAGTCTGTAGGACTTAGTCTTTTGAAGCAGTCTGGACCAAGAACTCTTCTGCAGAAGACATCAAGAGACAAAGCTCTTACTCAAGAGCCAAGTGTCTCATATACAGAGCCCGAGCTCTATTCCATGGAAGATCAAGCCTTAAGCGCTAAAAAGATTAAGTTCTTAATGTAGAGCTTCACTCCAGACACAGAGCCTCTGCATAGTACATGCAGAGCCTCTGAGTCTCCTACTCCCATGGAATGCGCGCACAGTTCAGATTTCTCCGCAAGACTTCTAACAGATTCTAGGTGGCTTGACTCAGTCCGCTCCACTTTTCAAGGAACGTGAACGATAAGGATGCGGAACAAGATCTCAGAGTTTAAAGCCATGATTCTAGGAGATTCTGTTTAGCTTAGTCATATATAAGGAGGCATCCTCCTCAGGTTACTAGTTACCTGAAAGTGCCGATTTAGACTATAGCTATATCTTGTGATAATACAAATTAGATTGAGAGTGTAACTACTTATTCTTTCGATCTAATAAAAGCTTCTGACTTATTCAAGTTGTTCTTGCTTTCATATTTGATCTTCAATAATCGTTAAACCTTTGTAGCAACACAGTTTTATTTCACGTATACTCATTTTATTTGTGTTTTATGAAATTAAGAGTAATCTGGTTCCAACAAGTGGAATCAGAGCCCGCTAATCAAATCAATTGATTAGTCGATCGATATCCAAAAGGATACTTCTCTTAATTTGGTTATTCGTTTTTAAAAACGTATTTCATTCCGATCTTTGGTCAATTTTGTTTTAAAAACGTTTGTTTTTCGTATTCTCAAAAACTCGACTATTCTCACTTTCTTGTCAAACTCTTTTCAAATCATTCTAAGAAATGTCTAATCAATCGTGGAACTCGATGTACAGTGTCGGATCCCTCACAAAACATCATACTCTCATTCGGAAATAATATCCCCAATGGAAGATTAGGATGATCAATTTTTATGAAGGTCTCGACCTTGAATTGTATGAATCAATTTTAAATGGTCCTTTTGTACCTACAACTCTTATCCCCAGAATTCCTGTTGCTGGTGACACAGTTGAACTACCCGCCAGGTGAGTTCCTAAGCTCCGAAGAGATTGGGATGATGAAGACAAAAGAAGGGTGGAGATCGATAAAAAAGCCAAGAGGCTTTTAATCATGGCCCTTCCCAACGAGATTTTTCAGTATCTTGATGCCTGCGATTCTGCCAAAGATCTATGGGATCAATTGGCAAACCAGCTTGAAGGAGGCATA